AAAGTTATCGATGATGCTTGATTGATTATTCATCACCCCCTTACGCATAAAATATCCAGTTGTAGCAGTAGAGAGAGCTTTGTTAATCAAATCATAACGACCATTCATACCTTGAAAGAAGAACTCAGGCAAGGTCATCCCATCCATATAGCTGTGTTCAACAAAACCATAGGCTGAAGGATCCGTAGAAAAGCGAGGAAAGTATGGCATTGTTCTTCGGAAAGCGAATTGCTCTCTTATTCTCTCCCCATTGATGGCCGTTTGGCCAATATTACCAACCACATGGATAAGATTAGGATTGTTCCCCTTAGCACCAGAAGCTATCATACGGAAGAATCCATTAGAATTGGGTGAAATACTACCCAGAATTACTCGCAACATTTCTTGTTCGTCGACTTTCAGAGCATTAATCTGAAGTTTTTCATAATATTCATGGACTGTATACCCTATGGGTGGAATGATTTCTCCTCCAATAAGTCTATCTGTAATAATGCGAGATTCTAGTAGGGCACTGGCAACTAATTCTTGAAGTTTAGAAGAGGCTGAAGACGAAGTCAATAGATCGACTGGGCCTACTGTGAAACCCCTGTATATAATAAACTGAAGTACAATCTGTTGAAGAGCAAAGATCATATCAAGCGCTTTCTGAGATCCATATTCTCTACCTATGAGATGGAAAATACCACCTGTAGCTTTAGCACCGACAGATTTTTTATCTAAGACGCCACGTAACATCTGGCCATCTTTAATCACAGTGAGAACTTCTGTCGGATCATATTGGATATAGGGTGCATAAAGATCATTGAAAGAACTGGGAGCTCTCTCATAATTTATAGGGGTTTCTGAGAAAAGCATTGATACTATCTCTCTTCCCGTAAATAAATAATCAGAAGAATGCTGATCAAAACGGGGAGGATCTAGACCTGTATTAGCAAACAAGGCCATCGCATGATATTTATCTATTTTTACTATATTGCGAGTAAGTTCATAGCTTCCAATGATCGAATCTTGGACCTGTCCATTCACTGGCCCAGAAGTTTTTGTCGATATAAACCAGTTGGCTATAC